AGTCTAATGATTTAGAGCATCTTACAATGTTTTTCTGAACATATTAAAATTACATTTTCTGCTCTAATACTTTGGTAATATTGAGATTAAACCCATCATTACTTTGCTTCTATTTTGGGAGTACCTCTATGACCTTGCTATTTAATCAGGACTGCACTAGGATGATAATCCCTATGAACTAAGCAGTGAATAAGACCTGAAAATGGGGAAGAAAACACAAATTTGATATAATTTGTTACAAATATATAGTCAGATAAATGCTTGTCATGTAGCTAAACAGAAACTGTTAAATACAGTTACTTGTTTTCAAGATTTCATGTTATGTTTTTATTTTTGTTCCCTATGCTCCCTTCTTCCCACCAAACCTTCTAAGCATGAGTTTTTCCTTGCTGTGCTTGGTCTTCTCTTAGACATTGCATCTCCTTCGTCCATGCTGGACTCTGAATATTCAGATACCACTGACTCAAGTGTAAGCACATGAATCACGCCTGAATTTAGAGGAAGATATGTTAGCTTCCCTTAAGTTCTGCTCTCTCTCTGTATGTATATGTGGACGGGGCCCAACACCACACAGATGGCATGAAGAAAACAGCAGACAGCCCCCTCCACACACTCATGCGTTCAAAAAATGGTGCTTCTCTTGGCTACATAAGACTGTGTCTATTGGTGGAAAAATCTACTTGCTCCTAGTGAGATTAAAACAACTCTCCCCGAAGAGCATTTGAATCAACATGAGTTAAGTTGCTCTCCACCATTCTTGCTCCTTTACACCAAGTGAAAGGGCCAAACCAGCATAAAGGTCTCTAAAATTCCTGGATCCAGCTCGGGGAGAAATCTCTCAGCAGAGGAATTGAGAATGACAGTCACATGCTGTCTTCTGAGACCCACAAACTCCTGTATAGGCCAGAGGCAGGGTTAGACTAAAACATATAGTAACTTTTTCCTACCACCCTTTCTTTGTTTAAAAATGCAGGAAAACCTCCAATCCCCAGTAGTTAATAAAACCAACACTTAGTAGTTGCCCTCTTTTCAAATAATAGAAGGTGCCACGCATTCAGCCTCGTATAGGGTTGGCAGATGGTTTAACCAAAAATACGGACCCCCCCAAAAAAAGAACACTGGGGAAAAAATTCTGTTGGGGGGGAGGGGGAGGAGTCAAAAGTTGTTGAGGAAAAAAAAGGACCCCGAGAGTTATTAAGCCAAAAAAAAAAAAAAAAAAAAAACCAGAAAAAAAAAGCATGGCCCCTTTAAGAAAAGTCTTTAGGCTTTTTGCTGGTGGCCATCTTGTTTTCTTGATCAGAGCCAGAAGGCAACTTTCCTGCAGAATCAGCTAAGTGTGTGTGGGGGGGGAAGGTTAGAGGAGCTGTGGGCTGGGCCTGGTTCCTGAGTGTGTATAGGGTTGCCAGGTGTCCGGTATTTTCACCTCCTGGCAGGGGAAAAAGTCTGAAAATATCAGACATTTTAGGTGTCTGGTATTTTCTGAATTTTTTTTTTACCAGACAGGAGGCAAAAATACTGGATTGTCTGGGTCAATACCGGACACCTGGCAACCCTCGTCTCGTACCCAGTAGCAAAATACATTGAAGTATATAGGTATTGTATGTAATCACATTCCATTTTATTTACTCTCTCTACTAAACTCTCACTTATGTAAGTACTGCTATCTTTAACCTTTAGAATGATGAACTAGAAACAATATGGTATAGCCTACCAGCTACAATGTAAACATAAATACTTAGAGCAAATCCAGAGATGGAAACAGTGATACTGAAGCTTTCTAAATGGAACATTCTGATTGACATACAAATCAAAATATTTAAGCACTAACAGTCTCAAGATGTGGTATCTTTCCCTCATTTCTTCGCCTTCTACACTTCCGTTAGTTTAAAAAAAATCAAAGGATAATATTGATTGGAATTTTGCAGTCCTAATACACAGCAGTTTTAATCCCATAATCCAATTCCAGACCTGAAGTTGCATTTACTGTTTGCATTTTAATCACCGTGATCCCAATTGGCAAAGCAGTTACTCATTCTTTATATATCCTTGTTGCAAAAGGACAAAAAATGAATGAAACAACTGAAATGGGATTAAGCACTGTACAAATACTTTTCTTATGATAGGAAATATATATATTTGATATTTTACATTTAAATATTGGAGAATACTGTATTGAACATTAAATCAGTAAAGATCAAATCTATAGGATACTAAAAACTAAATATTTACCATACTCAATATGACAATCACTCAAAATGTAAAGGAAATAAGAATATAGGCTTAATCTTGTATTTAGTATCAGATCTAATACAAACCTCAGTAACAGCAAATATGGAAAATATTTAAATTTTTCATCCATTTTAATGATAAACATCAAAGTTAACAAAAAAGAATTAAAATACTATAATGAAAAGTATTGTTATTACTTATGATGGAAAAACAAACAGAAGTCTGCCCATTTAGCACATACTACAGAAAAACCACCGACTCATATAGTTACCTACATGCCTCCAGCTTCCATCCAGAACACACCATTCGATCCATCATCTATAGCCAAGCCCTTTGATACAACCGCATCTGCTCTAATCCCACTGACAGAGACCAGAAACTTCAGGATCTCTACCAAGCATTTATAAACCTCAACTACCCACCCGAAGAAATAAAAAAACAAATTGAAAGAGCCAGACGAATAACTAGAAACCATCTACTTCAAGACAGACCCAAGAAAACCAACAATAGAACACCACTTGTCATCACCTATAGCCTCCAACTTAAAACTGTCCAACACATTATCAATAAATTACAACCTATACTGGAACAGAATACTAAACTCCGAGAGGCTCTGGGAGACAGACATATAGTCTCCTATAGACAACCACCTAACCTCAAGATGATTCTTACCAACAACCACAGGACAAACCACACTAATACCAACACCCTGGTACTTTCCCTTGCAACAAACCCCGTTGCCAGCTTTGTCCACATATTCACCCTGCTGATACCTTATTGGACCTAACCAATTGAGTTATAAGATCAAGAACACATATTCCTGCTCATCCAGAAATATAATTTGTTATCATGTACTGAAAGTTTCCATCTGCTATGTACATTGGACAAAGGTCTCAGACACTTTGCCAAAGAATCAATGCCCACAAAACAGATATTAGACAGGATCACAAAGAAAAAACAGTTTCTTGCCATTTCAACCAGAAAGGGCATTGTCTCAACAACTTGATTACCTGCATCCTGCTTCAAAGACCTTTTTACACCAGACTTTCATGCTTAAATTCGACACTTTACATCTCGGTCTAAACAAAGACATTAATTATCTTATCCGTTACAAAGATAGCTTCCCCAATTATAACCTCTAATATCATTAGCTCACAGACATTTACCTCCTCCTCCCCTCATCCCCCTTCTGTTCTGAAATTTGATTTGTCCTTTTTATATGTGTTCATTTTTTTGATTGTATCCTTTGGTATATATGGTTGTGCCAATTTTCTTCCACATATTGATCTGAGGAAGTGGGTCTGGCCCACGAAAGCTCATCATCTAATAAACCATCCTGTTAGTCTTTAAAGTGATACATAGTCCTGTTTTTCAATCAGTATTGTAGCTTTTGCAGACTGCAGTTAGAAATAAAAGCACTGCGCAAAGTTTATCATCACTTAGGGTGAAAAGTTTTGTTTTTATATGAATATTGAAGTGATACATTATTCTTAATTGATTTTAATGTTATATATTACCCAAGAAAAGTGTTCTGTTGAAATGACTGCATTGAATTAAAATTGGATAATTAGTTTATAAAGATGGTGTTCAAGTGTTATTTTAGCTCCACCATAAGATTCACTAATCATGTAATTCTATTAGGCCAAATCCCCCAGTCTTTACTTTGAAAAAGTTACCTTCAACTACAGTCAGAGTTTGCCTGAGTATGGACTGAGCTATTGATCGTCAGAGCTCATCTTCTATGATGCCGTTTGTCATGATTATGAGGGTTAGCCAGCAGCCTGGGGATTAAGGGTTAACTACACCTAGCCAGGTGGAGTGACCAGTAGGAATGTAGGTGGGACTTTCAAACTGAGACAAAGGAATTTGGTTTTTTCCTTTCTTTTTCCCCAAATAAACTTTCACTCTGGCCAGCCACTCCAGACTGCTCCAAAGGGTCACTTTCCCGAAATAGGGCAAGGAGAACCCAAAAATCTGCCCAAAAATCTGACTCCAGCCTCTCCTCTGAGGCTCCAGGCAGATATTTAGAGGCCTCACTCACAGACACACAACTATCTCCCTCAGGTAAACACTCAGAGAAACTTTTATCTTGCTCCCAGGACAGACTAGTCATGGACAATTTCCCAGAGCTACCCTCACCCCATTCACAAACCTCATACATGTCCTGAGGCTGGATTAAGGTATCAGCCTGATTATACATATTAGCCATGCTATAATCACGCCACTTCCCCCCATGATTATACACTGAACTCCTGGGAGGATACAGTCTCTGTGGTTCTTCCATTCATCTGGTCTCTGCCTTTATTTCTGCTAGTCTGGCCTGGTGTTCTTGTTCCTTGAGCTCCTTCTCAGCTTCTATTGCTGCTAGCTTGGCCTGGTGTTCTTGCTCCTCACGCTCAGTTTGTGCTCGCCTCTCCTCTATCCGTAGGATAAGCTCAACCTCTTTCTGAGTTAGAGGTCTACCAACTGCCTTACAGGCAGCTTCCCATAGAGAAGGCAGAGGTGAGGGAGGAGCAGCACTGCTGTACATTGCTCCTGCCCTCTCCTTGGGGTATGAATCTGTCCTAGAGCTGGACATTCTGCCTTAACTACCCTAGCTATCCAGTTGTCCCAAAATCTATAAAAAAACAAAACTATTTAAAGGCTACGTCTACACTGGCCCCTTTTCCGGAAGGGGCATGTAAATTTCATGAGTCGTAGTAGGGAAATGCGCGGGGGATTTAAATATCCCCCGCGGCGTTTAAATAAAAATGTCCGCCGCTTTTTTCCGGCTTTTAAAAAAGCCGGAAAAGAGCGTCTACACTGGCCCCGATCCTCCGGAAAAAG